CCCCAAAACCCCAAAACCCCAAAACCCCAAAACCCCATAGGTCATTTTTACAGTTGAAATTTAGTCCTGCTTTATGTGCTTGTAAAAGTAATCAGTTGTAACTCTGAACTCCTTGGCTTTATCCTTCACCCGACTAGTGATTATATTGGCAGTGATCACCCAGGCTATAGAGTTTATAAAAATTTGTGTCCAGTAGTTGTTCACATTAGCAATAATTCTCATTTGCCAAGAGATAAACATTGCAAATTGTCCGAAATAAGATAGAGTCAGGATGAATAGCATCACTACTGAGAATGGCGACTGGCTCAAAAGTTTCCAATGCTGTGGAATAAAAGGGATTATTATGATGAAATCAGAGGAAACTAGATATTCTTTAGTCAGTGTGAAGTAAATGAATACCAGAATTAGCGCTAGCGATAAATGATAGTTTTCCACTCTCTTAGGATTAAGATTTTCTTCGTCCTTGGTTAAAAACTTCCTATAGCCTTCAGGTTTTTCCTTCAACCCTTTAATATGATTTTCTAAACCTTGGTTTAGCTGGTTGTTTGGATCGATAGGCATTAATCAATATTCGTTATAGCTGTGTTCCAAGAATTTAACATTATAGAAAGCTGGCAAAAGTAGAATATAGGGGTACAATAGCACCAGGAGTCTGAGAGGAGCCAGGAAGTCTTTGAATCATATAATATAAAAGTACCACACCATGCTCATACTTTCATTTCCATCTGTAATAAACAGGAGATTTACATAAACAGACTTGAAAGCTTCCATTCCAGATGCAAAGTACACATATGAAATGCCCATTGCTGCAATTGTGATGACTTTTAAAGCGGCAAAGAGTCTTTCCTTCACTGTAGTATATCGATACAAAATTATCAGAAGGATTAGTACAAGATAGTGAGGATCTAGAGCTATGAGAAGGCCTCCAAAGACTGCAAGCACTGTCGAACTTCTCTTCTTAGACATAGTATCAGCCAATATGAATGAGAAAAAGAAATACATGAACAAATATGTATTTCAGAGTCACACAGCAGCAATGGATAGAGGATTCAGTCAAACCAGCATAAAACTAGTAGCTGAAGGGGGGTCTTGCTTTGTTAATTTGTAAGAATGGTACAAGAAGAAGCATGTCAGCAGATCCAATAAAAGATAGAGTGCAAAAACAGCATCTTTTCCTCCCGCTTCGTATACAGAAGATAGCAGTTCGATAATAATAGGATGGTGTTGAAGGTTATAATCGTTTGCATAATGTTTAGGGTTAAACTTGAGCTTCTCTTCTAAAATTCTTCTGTCTTCTTGATCAACCTCCATTGAACTGTTCTCTGGAATCTCGGATATAAGGGCAGAGAGTTGTTTTCGTTGAGTTTTGACAATCTTTTTCCAGCTAATTCCTTCCAAGATTTCTTCAAAGTCGGTGTGCACATTGCTAAAGAAAGGGAATTTTGAAACAGGCTGGAAAAAGTCTATTGAGTAAAACCCAATCTTGACTCCTAAGCTGATCAGTAATATGATGAAGATCTTAAGCATTTTTGATTTAATTTATAATTTGAATTAATCGGGGTTTTGGGGTTTTGGGGTTTTGGGGTTTTGGGG